ACTGGCTGCCTGCTGTTTTCATCGCAAGCCTCGCTCTGACTTGCAGCAACATTTAAAATTAAATATACATAAGTGCTTTCAAAGAACTGTTAATTTGAAGGTCATTAAAAAATAAAATACATTCCTTTTTTTGTCTAGAAAGAGGCACGCAATAATGCTATTAATACACGCTCCTCTTCCACATTCAAAAGCTGCCTCTTGCCTCGGATGTGCAAGCGGCTGAGTTCACCTTCGCTCGCAGCGGCATGGCATCTCATTTTAATTACAGCTATTGAGAAAGCCGCTGCCTCCTCCATCGCATGCAGTGCAGCACGTCAGGGATGGGGTTGTATAAAAGACATGGCAAACCGCAGGGGGAAACGACGCAGCTGAATTGCCAACTGGGATTTGTTTGGGGGAGGGATAAGGGGAGAAACACAGCAGGGCTGGTGCTGGGGGATGCAGGAGGGAGAGGGCAATTTGAAGGCAGTTGGCAATTGCCAGTCCAGACTTGAACATCTTGACTACCGATTCTCACCCAAGACCTTGGGCCAAGCTCAGAGCAGGGCTTCCATAGCAAAAAGTCCCTTTTTCGATCTAACACTACATGCAAAAAGACAAAGCCAACAGAGATGCACAAAAAACAACCCTAAAAGAGACAAAAAGGGCTGAGGTTTTTGCAGTTGCCATAGAAATGTAAAGAAGGAGCTGACAACTGCAAAGCGCCTCTGTCAAAGGATTGGCTCAGGGGTGAGCGACCTGGGCAAACGGCCACATCCGTGTGCCACTGCTCATCCCAGAGCTGGGATGGAGATGGGAGCAAGGCACCGCGGCCAAGCAGCAGCTACAAGCAGTGGTCAGGGGCCAGGATCTGTCCCAGCAGGGTTCACCAGTGAAGGGCACCTCCCAGCACCAGTACCTGGCAGATGAACCCACAGGGACCTTGTGGGATGGATGAACCCCAGCCTGGAGGAAAGGTCTGAGGAATTGGTTCCTTTCAATCAGAAATGCCTTTTTCTTCCTTTTATTTCTGTGCAAACCAAAACTTTGGAGGAAAAAATGCAACTCTTGAGCCGTCCCTTCCCCTTTGGGATCAAAGAAAGGAACTCCAACGCCAACCACAGCATGGATCAGAAGAAGGCATGAAATGGGAGCTTTCATCTTTAGACCACATGTAGTGGTTTAATTTTTATTCTTTTCTCCCCACTGGTTCTTTCCCCACATTTGGCAGAGCCCCTCCACACTGGCAAAACATCCAACAGACCCAAATCTGCATCACTCCTCGGTTGGCTCCTCCCACCCCAGGTCCCATCACTGCCTGTGGCTCCCGCCCCCCCATCACTGCCTGTGGCTCCTGCCCCATCTCCACACAAGACAAAGCAGGATCATCTCAACAGCTTCTCCATGCTCCATGACACTGCTGGTGGAGGAGATGTCTTAAATGACCTGGACAGTGCAGCCACACAGCTATGGCCAAGCACCCAGGCGTCTCCTGTTGACACAGAGAATTGAATGTTGGCAACAAGCCTTGACTTAGAGGCACCTCTTCAATGGTGCCCTTCACCTCCTACCCCAGCAAGAGCCTTCTCCTTGGTGTATGACGAAGGAAAAGAAGGACCAGCCCAAAGACACATAACCCTGCTGTCATGGCAGGCAGGGATAACACCGTTGCTCCTGGACAGAAAGGCTTCAGGGTTTGGAAAACTTATTTTCCTTGAAAGAGTGAGCTCTAAAGAAACCAAATTATCTGACAGAAGTCTCCTGAACCTTCTTCAATAAAAAGCAAAAATCAAACATGGCTATTTTGCACTCTCCCCCTGGTTTTCCACTATCAGATCAGAAAACTGACAGCTTTTGGTGAAATCAAAACCAGTGGACTCACTCTGCTGACCCAGCACGAGGCAGAGATGCCATCCTCATGGTGAGGGCTCATTGGAAGAGGTGGGATATGGGAATCGCCTGACACGACACAGTCCAGCAGATGTCAGATGGTGGCTGGCCGGGGAAGAGCAGCAGGGCACAAAGCCCAACAGCCCTGGCATCTCCAATGGGCACCACTGTGGCCGTGTGTCACCTCTCGAGGAGACTTGTCACCCTGACCTGCTGCTGGTCTCTCTACAGGTAAGCTTAGGATGGTGCACAAAGCTTCTCTGGGACTGAGACTGGGCTGGAAGGCATCACCTGCAACAATGATGCTTTTGGCAACCTCACCAGCCCGCAGAGCACAGGGGCAGCCCTTGACTCGCTGCATGGCTCTGTTTTCCTTGCTTTCCAACCAAAAAGAGCAAGCGAGCGCTGGACTGAGTTAGCCGTCAGGAGGGTGTAACAAGGGTTTGGACGGCATCCTGCAAATTTTAAGAAGTCAGGATAGACCCTCCCATTCCCCACCCTGTGCAAACACTGCCCTGCTCTCAGCTTAAAGCCTATCCCCCTCTACAGACAGCAGTTTTGAGGTTTGGATGTGTTTCCTTCCCATGCTGCACAACTTTCTGCCCAGCCAGAAACCCACCCACAGAGTGCCAGGGAAGGCGACAAGCATCATCCACCCCGGAAAACCAATCTGAGGCATAAAGCAGGACTCAGCGTCTCCACAAGCATCCAAGCACCTGGACAGCCAGTTTATCCACTTGTGGGTACTGAGTCTGCTGGGCTGGATAGGCAAGACTGAATGCTTTATATCAAAGGTTTTATATTAAAAGAGGACTGCGGTGCCGTTGCAACGTCCCTCCAGGCACAGAGCGGGGAGGATGCCAAGCAGGGCCGCAGGATCAGCTGCCTCGCAGGTGCTTGCATGGCTGGGCGACATGCAGCAGGGGAGTCGTAAAGGTGGAGTTTTGATATTTAGCCTGTGTCGCTGTCATTCATTTCTTTAAATGCCTTTAGCTTCCTTCTAATAAAAGAGAAATCATACAAAAAAAACCACAAAGGATCCTTCACTGCTGGCGAATATCAATGTGGCGAGGCAGTGTATTAGCATGCACGACACCCACTCCATCTGCATGTTGTATTCGGTGTGACAACATCCTGGAATACAGATTTGGGCTGCGAGTATCCCGAGAGGTATTAGCGATCGTCTATCAGACAGGACAGGGAGCAGTCCCTGCTGTTGTAAACAAGGGGGGGGTTTCTCCGCCTCTTTCTCTGGGGGGAGTTCAGTGATTTGGAACAAGCTCATTCCAGCATCTCATTAGTTCCTGTTCTTCGGCAGAGCGGCAGGGCATCTTTCTTAGATGATTAAAGAAATAAAATTGGAGGTGTAAGAAGTAACCCTATCACCAGGGTCCATCATCTGCTGGTGGTGTCAGCCACCATCCTCCCCAGCCAAGCACGTGCTCCCCATGGGACGCATGGCATTGATGGACGTTGGGCAATCCAATGGTACAGATGGACAATCCGATAGTACAGATGGACATGGAGCAATCTCATGGTGTGGATGGATGTAGGGCATCGCCATGGCAAGGACGGATAAGGGGCAAACCCACAGCACAGGTAGACATGAGGCAACCTGATGGCCTTGATGGACACAGAGCATCCCCATGGCACAGCTGGATGCAGGGCATCCCCACGGCAGGGATGGACACATGAGGAGCACAGAGAGTTTCTCATACACGTAGGAAACACCATGCCACCAAATTGCAGCACGGACCGGCAGCCCTGGAGGCACGGCTGGGGAGGCCAAAAAAGGTGCTGCTTGCTGCCAGCACAGTGCCTGGGAGAGCGCAGTGATGGATCATTACAGCCTGCACACAACCATCTAAGTAAAAGCCTTATTAAGAGTTCATTCATTTTATAAACTCTCGGTGTGATCCACAGAGGGAAGTTAGATTGCCCAGTCTTACAATATTCTGTGTAAACACTGACACGCGTCTAGCAATTTTAACTAGATCAATCTGCAAAGGAGACCAGCAGTGGAACAAAAAAAAATAAAAATGAAATTAAACACAGGGAAATATTCACTGGGAGAAGCTTTAAGGAAGCAAGCAGAAAAATACAGAGAAGGACGAATGGATGGACAGAGGCACACGAGACAAATGGACCTACCTCTGAAGCCATGAAAACTAAGTCTGTAAATCAATATCAAAATCCTTAGGTCCTCAAGATGGGGAAAAAATGTCCTCCACAGCCATCTTCTGTGCATCGCCGAGGCTCTGGAGGCCTTAGCAGTCTGTTTCCCAAAGCATCCCTCCTCCTTCTCCAGCAGTCACCAACCCAGTCACAACCACGCAGCGGCTCCTCCGATCCCATCTTGCCCCCGCTGCGCCGGCTGGCCCTTGGGATCATCCTCCTCCCTGCTTGCAGGATGCTGAGCGCTTGCTTTGCTGCTGGGCTCTTCCCTGCTCCCTCCTGCGCCCGGGGGCTGCGGGCACAACCCTGGACCCCCCACGCTGGGAACCGGCTGGCCACTGGCCACAGGGTGGGAGGTGATCTTCGGGTAGGGACAAGCAGTGAGTCCACGGTAGGCTGACAACATACACACGCGCACAAGCGCACACACACACAGGAACACTTCTTTCTGTTTCCAGGATGGATTATTATTTTTTTTAATCCTTTTTTTTCCTTTTTGCAAAAAAAATGCAAGCAAAAGAGAGAAAAAAAAAACAACCAAGGTTTTCTATTGAAGGTACATCTCTTCTTCAATATGAAGACATTAACTGGATTGAGTCGGATCCCCCATGCAGTGGTCAGTGAAGTCCTTTGGTAGTTGCCGGAGCAGCACCCGGGTATGACAGCAGGGAGCTCCGGAGATGTCTGAGGACACTTCCACCCAGTCCATAAGCAGAGAGGGGAGCAGGGTGAGCAGGAAGGGCCAGGGCAGGGACGGAGGAAGAAGAAAAGAGAAGGAAGGTGGTTTTGTTTCTCCAGACAGGATTCTCCATCTCGTGCCTCTCCATTCCCCAACAGCCCCTTCCTCCTTCTCAGTTTTGACCACTGCTCTCTGGTGGTGGGATTGGAGTCTGGTCTCTAGGGTTTGGGTTTGCTTCCCCAACGCACATTGGTTTGTCTTCACGGTTTTTTGTCCTTTTTTCATTTTTTTAAATATATGATTTGTACATATTTATATGTATTTATACGCTGTTCCCCACGACATTAGTAAGTGTGCTTCTGTTGGTGAGGAACGGAAGTCACCAGCTAGAGATGAGTCCCAGGAACATCCTTCATCCACAGTCGCAGTCCCTGGGCAGCGGCGGCACCTCTCCAACCTCTGCCCCGCGGCACCCGTCAGTTCCTCCCCTCCCACCTCTCCCCCTCTGCTGCGTGCCCTCCCCGTCCCCTCCCTGTTGAATGAGGGGATGTCATGCCATCGAGGTCGGAGACTGACTCATCTGTACTCGCATAGACTGGACGCTGTTCAGGATCTTCTTCTGGTGCCCAGCCAAAGTCACCCCTATTCTCAGGAGGTCTCTGGAAGACAGACAGACAGAAGAACATCAAAATGGTTGTGGGGTTGGTGTACCTATCTGCTGCCTCTAAGCAAGCGTTCCTGCAACCACAATCCGCCCTGTCATCCAGCCCTGGCACAGCACCCAACTCACTCAGATGTCATCTGGGCGACGAGTTGCAGGGAGGTGAAGCCAGCGGTCAGGAAGCTGTCCCGGTACTGGCTCATCTTCACAGCACTCAGCCAGTCATCTACTGAGGTAAAGGCAGTGAAGTCGGGGATGGAGCGGTCGAGGAGGGGCTGAGAAGGCCTGCAAACAGGACACACTGCTGGGGACAAGCCCGGCCTGCACCCAGGGGCTGCCACTTATGAGCCCAGCCAGCGCACCCACGCTTTCCCCAATCCATACTCATGCTCCCCCCAGCAAATGCCTGAGACAAGGAAGGCCTGTCCCATAGGAATCCTGCCCTGCCAAGCAGAGCTGCACAACCCAGGACGTTGTAAACCAGCTGCAGGAGCCGCAGGGACGGAGGCACCAGCAGAGCAGACACCGTGCCCACACGGTCACACGCCATAAAGAATCAAGAGCAAAGAATTATTGCTGTTGCTCAACTGAAAACTACATGTTCTTTGCCTGACTGTCAGCAGAGCAAAGACAGAAACTCCCCGTGCCTGGCAAATGGTTTATGAATCCCTGTCCTTCCTGCCAGCAGCATGAGCTGCTCGGGAAGCCTTCCACCGTGGCTTGGGATGCCAACATGAGAGCATCCCCCTGCATGCTGGGTGACTCACACAGCGGTGATGGTAGCCACAGTTTTGAGGCTTGCCGGGTTGCGGATCATTTTGTCGAGGGTGTTGACTATCTCGGTGAAGCGCGGGCGAGTGTTGCGGTCCTTCTGCCAGCAGTCCAGCATCAGCTGGTGCAGGGCGGCAGGACAGTCCATGGGCGGCGGAAGCCGGTAATCCTGCTCGATGGCATTGATGACCTGCAGGGCAGCAGGGAACAAAGCAGCTCGTGAGGACGAGGGACTTGGAGGTTAAAAAAAGGATAAAAAGGCAGCCACAGTGAGGGGTGAGCCACCCCCGCTGCTCCTCTCCCCAGGCCGAGTTGCCTGTGCAGGCAGATGCATTGGAGACAGTGGCGTGGCTGGCCGGGAAGGCAGCTGCCAGCCCATTTGATCACCAGCAAAGGGAGCAGGAGGAGACGCTCCTGGCTCCGATGGAGCCAGGGCTCTCAGAGGTTAATCTTCACTCTGATGCTCTGTGTGCCGTAGTTCCTCCCGGCAGAGAGCTGCCACTCATTATCTCGGCAGATCGCATCGGAGTATCGCAGTCCAACTACCAAAGCTCTTTCCCCGCTCATAAAACCCTCTGAACATTTTCAAAGGCCCTGCAGCTTCCTGAAGTCCAATTACCAGCCCACTGGCTTTTCTTCCCCTTTTCCCTCCTCGCATACTCTCAGTCTGTTTCATCTCCAAAACCAAGCGCTGCCGAGGAAGGAGTGGATAGCCTTTCAGGCAGGGCTTTCTATTGGAAATGAGCCCCCCACACCCTCAGCAGCTGCACAGATGACCCCAGACTCCTCCCCAGTGCTTACATCTTGGTTGGACATGTCCCAGTAGGGCCTCTCCCCAAACGACATCACCTCCCACATGACGATGCCGTAGCTCCAGACGTCACTGGCCGAGGTGAACTTACGGTACGCGATGGCCTCTGGTGCCGTCCACCTGACAGGGATCTTCCCTCCCTATGGAAAAAGGAAAAGCAGCTGAGAAATGGCAGTCTTGGCAGAGGAGTCCGGACACCCGCGAGCCAGGGTTGGAGACATGCCACACACCCCCAGCCACTGGTCCCCAGGGACCCCGCTGAGGAGCTGGCAGGCTCTGATGGCAGGAGCCAAAAACACCTCCATGAATTCATCTTGTACCTGCACAAAAGGGCTTAGCTAAACAAAACAAAAGGGTTTATCCAAGGGTTTATTACACTCAGGTGTCACCCCTGAGTGATACCTCCTCACTCCAGCTGCCCTGCAGGACACAGCACATCAGTGGCCTCTCCGGAGGTCCCTTCCAAGGGTGGCAAGGGATACACAGGACTGCGTTAGTGCTCATCTCAGGTAAGGAGCTGAAGGTATCCCCAGCCCTTGGCCTTCAATGGAAACAAAGTCTAACCTAAGAGCATTCTCTTTGGCACCATCTCAGCTCCCACAGCTGCTGGAAGGTCCTTCCAGGCCCACTTTTAGGGTCTGAGGTGAAAAGCAAAACACCTTTAAGCCCTAAAGGAGGCGTGGAATAGGAAAGTGCCTTTGGCAGAGCATCCCTCATTTCTCCTAAAAGCTCAAAATCAGGCTCAGCATCTCAAGCCATCCCCATCAAAACAGGGCAGGTCCCAGCTCCTGGCAGGACAGGAGGGGCTGGGGGCCATGCTCGAGGGGGCAGGGATGCTGCAGGGGGGCAGCACGTACAGAGGGACTTGCTCCTTGGCCAACCTCTGCTAAAATAACACCAAAAAAAAAGCACCAAGGGATGAAGGAAAACCACAGACACACACAGTATTTACTCCAGGCAGAATTGCATTGTAAATCGTTTAGTGCAATTGTTTTTCGTAGCCACTCCAATGAAGCGTCAGCTGCTCTTGAGGGATGAATGGCAAAAAAATTTTATTTGAATAACTACAAATGGAGAAATTAACTACTAGGTTGTTTTTCCTGCCTTTTCCCCAGAGCGAAAAACCTGCTGTGGGTGGCAGAGTGATGCAATTGCAGGCACAGCATCACTTCCCAGCTGCCAGGGAGATCTATTATGGCCTAAATTAAATAAAAACACAGATGAGATAATCTCTTTTATCTCTAAAGGTGGGGAGAGTCTACTTCATGCCTCATCTCAGCAGCTAGTGTCGGGGTCTTTGAATAAAAAAATAAATCATGGATGTCTGCTTAAAGGCCACTGCCTGCAGGATAGGTGTGGGCAGCGAGCGGGGCAGGTCCAGGGAGGGGGAAACATCCCAAAAGCAGGGGAGGAAGAGCAAGGGGCTGCAGTCAGGCTAAAACACGAAGCCAACCTCAAAGGCATCCCTGTTGGTTTCACATTTTGGAGGCTGGAGCCAGGTCCAGCACCCAGGCACAGTTCAGCAGTCAGAGACACTGCTTCTGCAGGAGGTGCAGCCTCGGGCTTGCACCCAACGCACACTCTTTTAATTAGTTGATTAGAGAAGGTCAACAGGTTGCACATCCCCTTCTCCTCTCTTCATCCTCAACACCAGTAAGGGCCTCGCGAGCCCACAGGCAGGAGGATTGCTGTGGTGGGGAGCTGGGGGTGCCCCCAGGGCAGCAGGGGGAAGGAGAGAGCGGGGCTGCCATTACCTCCAAGGAGTTGAGGAGAGGAGGGTGGCTGGGGAACACTGGAGCTCCTGTTAGGCTCCTCTCTTTAATTAATGCCTGGAACAAGTTTTCAGCAGAGAAAGAGCAGACCTGGAGCGCTGGGGGAAGGGGAGTTAAAACTTCATCACTGAGTCATCAGGAGATGCTGTGATCTCCCTGCTTCCCCTTCCCGGCCTCTCCAAGGTCTCCTCTGTGCACCTTCACTCCATGAAAGAGAGGGAAGAGGCTTATCTGGAAAGTGCCGAAGGCAGAAAGGTGCTTGGGGAAGGAGGGAGGCATAAAACTCAAAAAGGAGGAAGAGAAAGGAGGGAAAAGAGGATGATAGGTAGGAAAAACAGCCAGGGTCTCTAGGCCATGAGCCCAAGTGGTGGGAACTCTCCTGAGATACTCCCATCCATGGCAGAAGCTCCAAGGTGTACATCCAGCGTTCTTCTCCCAGGTCCGTCTGTCAGTGGGTGCAGGGCAGGGATGGGGGACGTTGTGCAAGACAAAATCTTGCAAGAGTTACGTACCAAGGAGCTGGTGTAGGTGGGGTCAGATGTATCATCCTGCAAGTAGCGCGAGAGGCCAAAGTCTGACACTTTGCACACCAGGTTGCTGTTGACCAGGATGTTCCTGGCAGCCAGATCTCGGTGCACGTAATTCATCTCTGCAAGGTACTTCATCCCGGCGGCAATTCCTCGGAGCATCCCCACCAGCTGGATCACTGTGAACTGCCCATCGTTTTGCTGTGATAAGAAAGAGCAGGCATGGTGGTGAGTGTATGGACCCCACCATGGGACCAGAGACGCTCACCTCCAACTTTGGGAGGATGCTGCACCTTCATAAGGAGTGCCCAGATGCCTTGCCCTGTCTGATTTAAGGAGAGTAGAGAGCCAGCACCAAGCCTGTGGGGCTGTACAGCACACTGCAACTACCTCCTGAGCTAAGGCAACAGACTGGGATGCCACCACCTTGTTCCTGAATCCCAAGACTGAAGAGCCCCAATGGTCCCACCTCGCCTTACCCGCAGGAATGAGTCCAGGGCCCCGTTCTCCATGAACTCTGTGATGATCATGACCGGTCGGCTTTTGGTCACCACCCCTTCCAGTCGAATGATGTTGGGGTGGTCAAACTGCCCCATGATGCTGGCCTCGCTCAGGAAATCCCGGCGCTGCTTCTCAGAGTAGCCAGCTTTGAGTGTTTTGATGGCCACATAGATCTCCCGCTTGCCGGGCAACTTCAGGCGTCCCTTATACACTTCTCCAAACTCCCCTGCAAGTACAAGAGCATCTACTACCAGCTCTTCCTTCACAGAAAACATTGCAAAGAGTAATGGTACCTTGAGCTGTTTGGTCTCCAAACCAACCAGCTGAGAAATGCCAGCCAGTGAACACTTCAGCAATGCTCTCACCTATAAATCTAGCTGGCTGTCCTCTTTAAAAGGGGCAACGTCTCCTGCTGAGGACATGTTTGGGCTTGCAACCTTCTCCAGGCTGACAGAGCCTGGTACTGACAGAAGCAGAGGTTGAGGCTCCTCTTGCAAACCTCTGCAAGAAGGATTTGCAGAGCAAATGAAGAGTATTTAAGGACTACCTCAGATATAAGGTGTCAGCACTGATAATCTCAGTTGCCTTTTTGCACATCACTTATCTCAGAATGGAAAATAATTGGGCTGTTTTCTCTGATTTAAAATACAGAGAAAGCATCCTCTCACTGTCAGCAGGAGAGCTTTATCTTCACCGAGGCAAAATTTGCCTGTGGAGGGATTACAGTTAAGCCAGGTTTACAGCCACTTTGCCTTGATGAGCAGTAAAGAGTGGCTGATACTTTGCTCAACTTGATCCCAACCAAACCAGCTCATTGCTTCTTTGCAGCTTCCCCTCCCTGGTTTCTCACTTTCTCTTCTAAGAGTATGACACAGTTATTTAAAAATGGCAATAAAAGCAGCACAGATGACATACAGATATGTGCATGTGTCTGTATCTATACATATGTATGGGAATATGGCATAGACTAGAGCAAGATCTGGCTTTTTCTTGTTATCTCATGGAAAAGCTGATTAGGAAATCCCAAGAGGCCCCACAGTTACACAGCAAATATGTTCACGGAGCCTTTCCCACCTCAGAGGAACTTTGAGAGCAGAAACCAACCTCACAGCCACTCTAATCCATCACAAATGCCGGAAAGCCTTATGTCTCAAGGCTTTCTTGAGGGTTTCACAGTGAAGGACCATGTGTGCACCCCTAGAAAATTGCCCCAGGTACGTGTGTGGCCACACAGGAGTGTCTGAGGGCAGGGAGGGATGGGTGGCAGGGGACGGGGAGACCCACCTGCTCCAATGACTTCTTCAATCTTCACAAAGGACACATCAATCTCCTTGGCGAACTCTCGGACTGCCTCATTAGGGTCCTCATAAGTGAAGGGGTCGATGTAGATCTTCATCCCTGGAGACCCTTGTTGCAGGAAACATGGGAGCAACAGCAAAAGGGAGAGAAAACCAAGAGCAGTTGTGCCATGGCCAAGAACTGGAGACCCTGCTGTCCTCACATCTCCATACATTAAAACAGACGCCTGCACCACTTCCATAGGCCCTTATCATCCTCTCTGGTCTCCCCACACCAGCCAACCCTCCCCTGGATCCCCTCCTCTCCCTCTCTGCCCTCTACTCCTCTACCATTATCTATCCTCTTCCTCCCTCCAGGCAATGGGGAGCAGTTACAGACCTGACCTACAATTAGGCAGTTTTACAGTCAGGGCTTTATGAGGCTCCATGCATTAGTGAAGAAATATTTATTTACCTCAAAAGGCCTCTGATAGCTTTGTGGCGGCTACTAAATTGACAGAGTGCAGCAATTATAATCAACAACCTGGATGGAGCCATAAAATACAGCTTGGCCAGCCTCCGTGACAAGCGTGCGGTCCCTTGCACAGGGACAATGTGTAGCAGCGGGATCTGCTCATGCTACAGGGAGATGCTGTAAGTGGACTCCTGTCCTTTTCAAATTGGGGAAAAAAAACCAAAACAGGCCCTCAAATTCCCCAAAGCAGATTTGCTGTGGTCCCTCTGTGGTGGTTCAGCCTCCCATGCCACTTCTCACAGAAAAATTGGACCAGGGATGGTGTAGCAGCCCACTCAAGGTCATCTCTGGAGGAGACCAGGAGGGACACCACTGCCTGCTCCTCCTCCCCGAGGTACCTTGGTGTTACGGTGATTAGCAGTGTTTGATTACACTATTAAGGACCTCGCCAAGGGCTGTGATTGCACCATGCTGGCCTTTCTAGAGCTGACACACAGAGGACTGCATGGACCACAGCAAATCTGCTTTGGGGAATTTGAGGGCCTGTTTTGGTTTTTTTTCCCCAATTTGAAAAGGACAGGAGTCCACTTACAGCATCTCCCTTTCTAGGCCTTTCTAGAGCTGACACACAGAGGACTGCATGGACCACAGCATCACCTCTGTGCTGGGAATCTAAATCGGTTTCCAGCTGCTTTGCAAGTTTGCTGGCAAATAATTTGGGAGGAGGCACAAAAGCCTCGCTGCAGGGTATCGCTGGTGCAAAACAGTCACCGAGAGAGAGCCGTTTGCAGGGGCCCTGGGACCCATGAGGAACCAGGCAGGAGCATTCTCATCCCCAAAAGGGACGTCTGGGGCAAAAACTCTGTGCCTTGGAGGCAGGTGGGGAAGGCTGCAATGAAGCCATCTGTGCATCTCCCAGTTCATAAATCCCTTTACGGCTCTGTCTCATACACTTTAACTGCCCCATAAATTTTTTTACAAGAGCAGCTGATGCTCCAGCCAGGATTACAAAAGGATTTACAGGATCGTAACCGAGACTGACTTGCTGATCAAAATATTGAAGAAATAAAGGAGACAATAATGTCAATGTTTCCTGCCCACTGTCAACACAGGCTGGTTTTTCAACACCCTCTGACGTGCCCTGGGGTTTGCCCGTGGCCTCAGTCAACACCAGGTTCACCGCCCTTCTAATCCCCATCCCATCCAAATGAGTGGGATTAGGGCATCTAAACCAATTATACACCTCTGCAAACCTCAGCCATCGGCTCGTCATCACCACACCAGCAAAAGCCAGGTGAAATGCTGGGTATTGGAGTGCAACATCGAAGGCAACCCATGTGGGAGCTTCTCAGAAACAGAGCTTTATGCTCTTGGAATCACCCCGATACTCCTAAGAATTGGATTAGGCCATTTATTACTACCCCAGACAATGGTAAATTATTTATCACTCTTAGAAAGTTGGAGTGCTCTGCCCTGCAACCCTGACTTGAGCGTGAGGTCCCTCCCGACATCATTCTTCCTTGGGAATAAATATTGTCGGGACAAAGAAACACCCTCGCCTGCCAAATCAGCACCGCTTCAACAGTGCACTTGCCCTACCTCCCCTATCTCAAAGCTTGCGGCGAAGTAGCGGCAGAAATAAAACATGAGAAATTACAAACTGAGAGTCCCATCTCACCCCAAAACCCACCAAGGGAAGTCCTTGCCAGCAGCAGGCAATCCCTGGGGGTCTCCCAGGAGGGACGGCAGAGCAGCGCTGGGGAGGCTGTAATTGCCATGCCGCTGAGCACACGGGTGATTTGTTCTGGTGGATGCACTCGTTACTCCATTAGTCGCTCACCACAAATTTCCCACCTGTTTCGCTCCAGCATCTGCAATAATCCAGCGCCTGGAGGCTTGCTAACCTTGAAAGGGTTTTGCTAGCGCGTCCAGGAGCCCCAGCACCCTCAGCATTCAGGCACCAATTCTCACATTGCCTACCTTTAAAAACTTAATGCAGACGCCTGCTTCGTTGCTTTTCTGCCTGGTTTGAACACCCTGGGATTTGGGGTGCTTGGGCTGAGGTAGGGATGCACACAGGATAGGGAATATTTAAAAAGAGGGCGGGAAAATGGGAAAAATACATCCATCTGCAGCCCGACATGGGTTTAGCCATCAGGTATGAAATAAATGTTCCCCATCACCCATGGTGCAGAAATGCAAATAAAAGAGGGAGGAAAAGCACAGGTCCATCATATTTAAGCATCACCCGGTGATGTTTGGAAAACAGCTTATCATTTGCTGGGAGGTTTATGGCCCCTCACAGCCCTGCCATCACCTTGGGAGGGTTTGATAAGAAGCCAAGAAGGTCAAATGAGACCGAGCATGCTGCTGCACGTTGGATGCAGGTTTAGGAGCATCTTCCCTGTCTGGTTTTCTCCACTCACCTCGTCCAGTGCTGTAGTGCTGTAATTTGTCGCTGTACACTGCCTCCTTGCTGTAGGCGCGTTTCCTGGGAGAAGAGGGGAGAAAACAGCCAGGTTTGAGGAACCAGCGGCTGGCAACGGCCCCAAACCGCTCCCCTGCCAGTGACACTCAGCAAGCAGTGGAAGCTCGGTGCTCTCTACACCTACAAGGATACCCTATCCCTCCCCTCCTACCCCAAATCTCTCCCAGCTCCATCTCACCACCTCCACCTTCCAGGGACACAACACAGCACAGGGACCCACCTGCTGCAGACAATGGAAATGGCCACCAGTGAGACGATGAAGACCACCCCGGCTGCTGCGGACCCCGCAATCAAAGGCAGCTGCTCTCTCAGCTCTGACTTGTAGTCATCTGCAAGAGAAGAGGGAGCACACCCATGGAGTAAGAGCAGATTCCTGGGAAGGGGTCCTGTAACACCCCCTCTGACTCTGTGGGTGCTGCTCCCATGGGAGAGTGGTGGGACAAGGGGGATCCAGGCAGGAGCACTGGTTGAGGCACATGGTGAGCCAACGCTGTGTTGCACGAGGAAGGATTGTCACACTTGCCTCACACACGTTTTGGGTTAAAAATATGGAAAAGAAGGTCCTAGGAATCAAGTCAAACCAATATGCATGTGCCCAGCTTCCCAAAGAGATGAGATTCACAAGGTGCCTTTGTCCATGCCTCTGGGGTTTCTCTTCTTTCAATAAATTTAAACCTGTTGGTTGTTTCAATCTAATTTAACATGAGGTCTCACAGACACAAAGTTCGTACAAGTTGCAGGAAAAGAAGAAGAGAAAAGACCCCATTAATAACCCTGTGTCCTCCAGCAGCAGGTGAAAGCCGAGGTGGCACAGGGAGGACTGGACATGCCTGGAGCAACCCTGAGAAAGCCACTTGCCACCTCCATGCATCTCCCTCATTTTTCCCTCCTCCTGCCCATTAGCAGTGTGGGTACCCACAGCCATGACAGTGGATGGTACCCAGCAGACCCCACACTCGTGGGGGCTCCAGAAACACCTCCTTCTTCAACCACCCCTAGCAAGGTCTGCCAGGCTGTGCCAGCAGCCATGAGCAAAGGTTAAAATAAAACTCACTCCAAAAGAAAACATTTAGCATACTTTTATCTGTATTTTTCTACTCTGCAGTTAATTACTAGCAACTAGATTTATCTCTTGCACACCATTTAAATCTTGTGAAATTCTCATCTAACAATCAATTATTATTTAATAATCTCCACTATCCATTCTTATTAAATTTCAATTAATTGCTTATTTGAGGCAGAATGTTTCTTCTCGCTTCTCTAATCCTGAATATTCAAGGCATTGGAGTGGTTTATTACCATTTCCTTCCCTTTGGTCACCCCGTGTGGTTTTCCTCTTCCCATTCCAGCTGGCACTCAAGTCAAGCACAAGCACAAGGTGACCCAGTTTTAGGAAAGAAAGAAAATTTTAGGAAATGCAGCCAGCAGGGCTGACACCCATGGGTGTCACCTAACCAGAGCAAGAACAGTGCTGGCAAATGCAAGGAAGGGGCTCTCTGCAGGGACTTCAGCTTCCCCAGTGTCTGGAGGGGTAGGAGGACAACAGAAGGAGTCTTGCTTCATGGATTTGTCCCAAAGGTAGGATTAATTAAAAACGCTCTCATGAGTTAGTCTCTAAATGGATCCAGAGTTTGTGGGTGCAGGAAAGAGCTGAGGACACAAGAACACACAACTCTGACAAGGAGGCCAGAAGAAGGCATGAGGTCGTGAGCTGCCCTTTCCCTTTGACACAGCACCTCAGGGTGGAGTATCAGCATTTGGAGATGGGTCTGACCCTTCCAACTTTGCTCTGATGGCTCAGAAGCAGCTCTGAACATCCCAGCAGAGCATCCCAGAGTCCCATCTCCAGAGGTCCACAATCTTCTGCTGCTCGCACTCCACCGTGACAGATTCACAGCTGATGGCAGCAGGGCTCTGCCACCACGCTTGGATGCCAGAAAGACAAAACTGCAGCTAAACAGCAATGGAGAAAACAGAGCTAAGAGATTTAAAGCAGATTACTCCTCCAGCTGGCGATTAATAAGACACCACTGTAAATCACCTGGCTTTTGCCATGCTGCCTGCTGGGAGAGAGGAGACAAGTTCGTTTAATCCAATTAGAGCATGAAGCTGTCACTGGTAAGACAACCACCCCCTTCGCCTCCTTGTCCCCCCTCCCGAACTCACCATCCGTCAGCGTCTGGAAGCACATCTTTCCGCTGTACTTGCCATAGCCAGCCACGGTGCGGGCTCGGACCTGCACCACGTACACCATGCCGGGTCGCAGCCCCTCAATCCTGGCCGTGTTGGTCTGGCTGCGGGCCATGGAGGAATTGTATTCATTGTGGTCCTGCGGGCAAGGCCAGGAGAGATGGTCAGCAGGGACAGGCACAAGGGACAATGTGCCCTGCAGCCCACCTGTCCCTGCTGATGGCAGGGATAAGGTTTATCTGCAGGGGGATAAAGTGGTGGCCATGGTTTTGCTCCAGGAAGGACAAGCGCCGGAGCCCAGGCAAGGTGGCTTGGACCCTCTTGGTGGTCCCTCAAGCCCTTACATGAAGGATCCCGCAGGAACAGGACCCATGAGCTGTGCGTGGCCTCCGGGGAGGTCCCCAGTCCCACCATAGCCAAAAGCATGGAGCAGCAGGCGGAAACAATAAGAGCATCCAGAGCAAAAACACTCATGAGCAGTAAATTCCTCCTCTTCGAAACACTGATGTCCCTGCACATTTCAGAAATGTCATGCAGTTATGGAAATGCCATAACGTGCCCTACGAGACATGGGTCAAGCAAGTTCAAGGGCAACTTGCCTCTACTGAGAGCTCCAGCCCCTACAGTCCCTGCTTTGCTGGCAGCAGTCCCTGTGCTAAACCGTGGTGGAAACGTCATGCATCTCAAATCTCATTTTTTGCAACATTCCCCGGTGATTTGCTGTAAAGGAGCCGCTGGTGAGATCATCTAATTATTCACATTTAGAGGAATTCATTAAAGCTGGCAAGACACGGGAGGGATGGAACAGCTTGGGCTCGGCACGGTTCACCGCAAGGGTTGAGAGCACGTCCCCTGCGGGGAGGGACAGCTGCCAGTGAAAGGACCTGGCAGGAGGCAGTGACCCGGGACAGGGACAACCCTGATAACCTTTGCTGGTCCTCACCATCCCCCTCCTTTCCTCCTGATGCCGTCCCCATGCTCCAGGTCCCTGTTCACCCTAGCAGACACCAGAGCCAAGGCAACAATGAGCACTGAAGTGCTGGAGAAAATACTGCCCACTGGGGAGGAATCAGTATCTCCAGCCGCGATGTCGCTTCCCTTCCTCTGGTTGCACATCGCTCCCACCCTGCAGAGCCAGCGTGGGTGACCTGGTACCTGTCCATCTGCCTGTCCCACCACCCAGACCCTTCCCAGCCTGACTCAAAGCTCATCGATGTTCCCCCCTCTCCCAGCAAGCTCAGGACCTGAGCAGCCCCTAGCCCACTCTCCACTATGAGATTTCCACCCAAGCTTACCGCTGCCGGCCTGGAGCCCACGGTGCTGCCAACATCAGGTGTGCAGATGCGGCTCACCTTCTCATAGTAGCGGATCTCATAGTCCAGGATGATGCCATTGGGCTGCTCGGGCTGAGGCCAGGACAGCGTGATGCTCCTCATTGTGGCGCTCACCTGGTGCATGATGGGGACAGTGGAAGGTGCTGCCGAGGAAGCAGGGAGGGAGGGAAAATTAATGGAAAGGACTGATGGCCCTGGGGAGGGGTAAAATCCCCCAGCACAGAGCATCCTACATCTCCCATGCCTGCAGTTGTTCACCCCATGGGGCAAGCTCACACATTAGCAGTGGGAAAAGCAGCATCTCAGCAGCTTATGTGGAGCCAGAACTCTGAGCTGGCAAGGGAATTCTGGTATTTAAACCAATTACTTTTTTAATTAGGAGCTTAGAAATCCTCGGTATTCCTTCTCCTTGGGATTGCTTGCTCCAAGAATGTCTCCCACAGCAGGGCAGACAGCAAAGCTGTCCCCAGCAGGGACAAACCAAGGCTGACAGTCTCCAGCTCTGCTTGCCATCTTCTGCTGTAGCAGCTTCTCTGGGGGAGCCAGCACTCGGCACTGCGGGAGTCTGTCCCATGGTTGCGACCCCACGTGCTGTCAGTAAGTGGATGCAGCAGCAAAAATCTGCCCACCCTGAAGATAATGATGGGAAACCAGGGCAGGGACACACCAGGCCAGCAAGGGGACCCCAGGTCACTGGAGCCTGTAGCACAGCTTTGGCTCAGCCCTGTCCTAAACGAGCTGCTGAGTCCGCTCTTAGGGGCTCTCTGGGGATGCTCATCCTCAGCACCCAAATATGCTCCCAGGAGTTTTATTTCTGAATTCCAAACACTTGCAGAACAGTTGCCTATCCTCATTCAGCTTGCTCGCCCTGGCCCATGGCACAAGGGTGCTCAAAAGGCAGCGCCTCCACCCCTGCAGCCCCTGAGACCTCCCGGGCAGCAAACCACAGGGGTCCCAGGCACCTTGTCACAGCATCCCCGGAGAAAGAAAGATGCTCAGCACTGGACACCTGAAATAGCTGCCAGGGATAATGTCCTCTCTGCTGCTGCTCCCTGCCATGCTCCCTGCATGCACTGGAGCCATCCTGGGGCTGTTCTGCGCCTGCTGGGGAGCTGAGTAACCCTGGAGCCAACCTCTCCTGGAGCCGAGCATCCCCAGCAGCAGCAACACTGTACTTCCACGATCAAGGACACCAAGCCATTAAATTAGCCAGGAGCTGCTTTTCCAAAGTTAAACTTGAAAGGGCCAGAGCCAGCCAATACAGCCCTGATCTTGCACTTAATCCTACCACAAACCTCTAAGAAAGGTATTCAAGTCTCTCCACACCAAAAACAGTGCTGGCATGACCTGCTTGCAGGGTCAGTTCCCTTTTTGGCCCTCTCTGTCCTCCTCCTCACCATGCCCAGAATGCAGGCAGCACGAGGCAGGGAATATGCCTGTGTGGGTTCAGGGCAGAGACGAGCTTGGCATGACCAATTTGGGGCACAGGATGGCCCTGTGGAGGTAATGTGGGGGCAGCGGGAGCCCCACTTAACGCAGCCGCGCTGGGAGATGTTGATAGTTTGGCACCACCATTGTTTACGCAGCACACTTAATCCCTTTCTAAATTTTTTTAGATTTCTCCCCATCCACTCCAAGAAGATGCTCATGGGCCAAAATTAAACACTTAGCTTGATTGCTGTTTTGTTAATCATTGCGTTCCCCACCCTGTTAGAGTGCATAGCAGCGAGCAGGCAGATGGGGCTGGGATGCGCTAACCAGCCTGAGGAAAGCGGGTGGAAAATCCTGCTGCAAAAACCCGTTGCAAAGCCACAGGGATTTTAGAAGGACAGCATCAATCCTGCCCTCAACATACTTGATGCCTTGCCATCAGGTTCCCGCAGCCCGTCCTGCAGCACTGGGAGCATTTCCACATTAATATTCAGCCTTTGTAAGACAGACAGAGAGTGCTGGGGTACAGACAGCCAGCCATGGGTGCCCTGGCAGTTCCCAGATCCCGAGCAGCCCCAGGGTGGGAGATGAGCAAGGAAACACTCCAAAAATCCAACCCAATCCCACCCTGGAAAAAAAAAAAGGCTAGGAAACGAGGCAGGTTTGATTGCACACGGTTCAGGAGACGGTGATGCCAGTCAGGCACAAGCATGGATTTGTATTCCCAGGAGCCAGGAGACTAAAGTATTTACACCAGGTTGCTTTGTCGTGCTCTCCCAAGGGAGCGGGTTGGCAAAGGCTGCCTGCATTACACACTTGGCACAAAGCAGAAAATACCATCCCCTTTCTCTGCTTAAAGTAGATAGGTTTCCACCCCCTCTGCTCCTCATTGCAGCCCGGGACCAGGTCACTCCTGGGCAGGTATAGCACAGCCATCACACACCACTCACAACCCAGCAGCTTTTTCTTTCAGATATGGAGCTTCCTTCCATACAGAGCTTGTAACTGGTGGGCTGCAGCTAAAAACCCCCAGCACCGCATCGTCCCAGGACTCACCAGCTTGGTTGGTGGTGATGTTGACAGAGACGTGCTGCGGTTGGAAGGGGCTCTTGTTGGAAACCCCATTGACAGCCTGGATCTCAAAGGTGTAGGGAGTGTGTGCCCACAGGCTGCTGATGAAGACCCGGGTCTCTGTCAGCCCCAGCTGCCTGGGGACAAAGTCCACGTTGTCGTCACAGCGGGAACAGGCGCGTCGGTCTGACCGGCACTTCTTGCAGACGATGTTGTAGGTGACATCGTCCCGACCCCCAGTCTCTCGCGGTGGGTGCCACTCCAGGATGATGGATGTCTCATTGACGATGGAGATGACATTGCGGGGGCCAGATGGGACGCCTGCAGGAAAAGAGAGCTTGAGATGGGTTCTTGCCCAAACTGCTATGCTCAGCCCTACCAAGGCTCAGCGGGAGCCCCAGGAGCCTCCAGCACAGAGGACACAGCTCCATCTACCCATCACCTCCTGGCTCAGGAGGAATTTTGGTCTCTATGGCTTTCCTTGATTCAAGACCAGGCTTTCCTCACTGGCAATGCTGACCACCCACACCACCATCCACGGAGAGAGGTTTCACAGTTGGATGAGGACTCCCATGCCACAAACCCACACAGTCTCCAAAAAAGCCCCCCATGCAGAGCACACACAGATCCATCTGCCAAGGTGGATCTATTTTAATGATCAGGAGATGCTGAGATAGCTCTGGCACTCACATGGAGAAGCACCTTAAACAAATTATCACAGCAAGAGAAACACCACTTAGCCAGCACCACAGAGAAACAGAGATGCAGTGGACAAAAGGAGAATAAAGAATGGAAAGTGGTTATTAACAGTTCGATATCGCAAGTTGGGAGCCCGGGCATTTAACCGATATCTCCTCCGCATCCAGCACCGCTCACTGGTTTGCAAGCAGCTTGGCTGTTGGATGAGAAATCAAAATTGCATTGATCAAATCTGCCAGAGCCATTGCAAGTGCTTTGGAGGACGGGAATTGAATGTGGCTCCGACTGCATGCGCTGTCAGAAAGGGATCGGAGTCCGTAGAGAGCGATTCAGGAGGAATCCAGGTGGGAGAGCATCATCGAGGAACAAACATATGTCTGCCCAGGTCTGGAGTATTTAGGGTTAGCCAGGACAGCTCTGCAGCCAAACCCACAAAATTCAGCTGTCAGGTTATATTAAATAAGAAGAGTGATTAATTACTCATGTCAGTGGGGCTCAGCGCTGTGCTTCTGAGGAAGAAAAAGGACTTTGCCACGATGGGGGGTGCAATAAAAGTGATGGAGGACTTGACCTGCAAGGAAAGGTTAAGAGAGCAAAGTGTGCTCCATCCTGGGGAAAAACATCCCAGGGGAGCCCTCCACGTGTGTGTGTGCTGGGGAACATCATTAGTGGCTGCAGATAAATTAGCCCCATTAGTGCCTGGGGATGGACTGGGCAGAGGCAGCTTCATCTGCAAGGGGTGACGGGTGGGATGGAGAGGTCACCCTGCATGGAGGTCCAGCTGCCAGCCAGCCCGGGTGGCCATGGGTGGCCCCCAGCTTTAATTGTAGCCCCTTCCCTTCCCTGCCAGGGGCATGGGGCAGGACCTGCACTTGCCGGCATTGCCCTCAGGAAGGGCTCTGGTTCAGGGCAGTGCCAGCAGCTCCACACTGTTATTTACTCCTCTGACATGGAGAAACTGTCGGTGAACAGCTGGCACCTCAAATTAGAGCCTTGTAAAAAGAGTCGATGAGAAGAATTAAAAATCAGAAAATGGATTTTTTCATACTGTATTCCTATAGCACAGCAATACTGTAAATCAGCTTCATAACAAGATATAATAAAGACACATAGATTTATCTGCAGTTGTGCTACCTGCCGACTACCTGGTCCATTCTGACAGCTCAAGTGATCCACAAAACATGTAAATTCTTTTACTGGTTTCTGATGTGCATTTTGGGCACTTCCCAGCACCAGCAGAGCATCCTTGTGCTAAAGCTCCCTGAATGGCTGAATCAAAGAGATTCACAGTGTATTTTGGAGGGAGAAATGAGGCTGAGATTCATGTTCCCAGTGGGGTAAAAAGCACAGCAGCTCCTTCTTCTGTCCTGGGCTCTTTTCTCACCAGAAGTCAGACTTCAGGCCACTGCTGCCTTCTCAGGCAGTTCGGGCAGGCAGCCGAGCAGCGATGCATCGCACGCAACGCCACACTGAATACCAATGCTTAATGCACCCTTTCCCCCTGTTAAAGAATACTCCATGTGCAAGACTATGAACAAGACAGGCACAGCAGATAACTTTAAATTCTAATTTATCCTAGGGATTATCTCCCTGCCATCACTGCCACTGCCAGGGTGAAGTATAAATTCAAATGGCAGGCAGGTTGTGGGGCCGTCCACATCGTTCTGTGGCACATCGTTTGGTGCATGCCACAGTGGTGTCCTGGGAAAGCAGAGCAAAGGGTGATGAGACATCATCTGCTTATGCTGGCGCAGCGGTGAAGGGATTTGTGTTGGTGTGAGGAGCATTTCTGTAGCGCATGGAGGAGGTGCCACATGGAGAGGGATGGGTAGTCAATACCCCAGCCACAAAACTACACCTTTGCAGTGGGGTGACCTCAGCTGGCTGCCAGATGCTCACCCAGCTGCTCTCTATGCAGTAAGACAGGAGAAGAAAATAAGATTAAAAACTTCATGGGTTGAGGCTTTATACCTACTGCTTCCCCAGCAGCGGAGGGAAGTGAGACCTTGCAACCTCCCTGTGCCAACCCCAATCTGTTACTCACTGGTGCAGGCAGCTGCCGGTGGGTCAAAATCTGCCCGGTAGTAGCCATTGCGGCACGTGCAGACCGGTGAGGCCTCTGCGGTGGAGCGGCTGTTGGAGGGGCACGGCACACAGAGCCCTGTGCCCTGGCTGGCCTTGAACGTCCCTGCTGGGCAGGCTGCAAGAGAAAGGAGAGGAGAGCGGTTGGGGGTTGAATTGTCCCAGAGTGGAGGCGAAAGCCTGTCCTTGGAATGGAGCAGAAAGTAAATTAAGAAACAAAAGAAAGAAGACACAGAAAAGCTTCACGCCTGTATCAAAGCTAAACAGGGTAGGACATTCCTACAAAGGTGGACATAATTTTCCACGCAGGGCATGAATTATTTTGGAAGGATCCAGGAAAACACTAAAATCACACAGCAATGATGCTCCCTGCCGCTCATACCTGGACAAGGGGATGGTGGGAGGCTGCAGGACCCTCTTTCCCAGCAGCACCCACAGGGACATAGACACACAGGGGCAGGACAGCATTCCCCTTCTGCTGATCTGAAATGTCCCTTTCCACCATCCCAACAGCACGGCTCAGGTCTCACAGCTCTTTTTCCATGCAAAATTGGAATATTTAATAAGAAAGTTGACGCAACATCCATGACAGTGTCCTATGGGTCAATCCCATTAATACCCCACAGCCTGGGGCTAAAAACGTTCCTGGCCTTCAGCCTCTTGAGTTCACGCACACAGGAAATGACAACTAAATCATAAATTAAAAGTTGCTCCTCCAGTTGTGGTTACGGCGAGGCTTTAATTCGTGACGGTGGGAGGTTTCATTACACAAGTGTCTTGCTGCTCTGCAGTTAGAGGGTGAAGCTGGAGTGACAAAGATGGGGCACCTCGTCCCTGTCCCACCCCACCAGTCCTCACCAACCAGATGAAGAGATGCTAATCCATCCATGTCAAACAAAACCCTTGGGTGACCCCTACAAAACTTAAGGCTGCAGAAGGTAGCACCCATATTTTAGCACATGTACCCAAAGGAGCAGACCTCCATATGCAGGTCCACCACCCAGTCAGGGCGAGGTAGTTCACGGCATCACATATACAGTGGTCCCACCTCCGTTTGGCTCCCAGCTCTGCCCCCTTGATGCTGTCAGCTCCATGGCAGGGCCCTGCAGAGAAGCACACTAAGTGTCTCATAAACACGGCGATGATTGAGATAACGGAAAGTGCCTCTTAGCCCCTGTCTGCTGCATCAGGATATGAGGCATCTCCTAGCAGCCACGAAGAGGAAATTAATAGGAGCAAGCAGGAGTAACCACTTTGATGCAATTTCCTTGGGAGATAGTGGACCATCTAATCTTTATTGGAGCCCTTTAACCTGTCATTCAAAACTCCTGAAGGCCTCTTGCTCACACAGTCTTTCCAGATATTAAAAGATGATAAAAAAGCATGAACCAAAACAATATTTAACAATTTTATTATTTAGGGGATTTTTCTCCCCCATCTGAGGGATGCAACTGGCTGTGACAAACCCCCTCTTTCCAATGGCTTTAACAGTCAAGTGGGGATGTGGCATCCCAGAGGGACCAGCCACCATCTCATCCTGCCCTTCCTCCTCCTCACCACGGAAAGAGAGAGAGGAGGTCGAGAGTGTCACAGCACTATGAACACACCTTGGTTTAAGCACAGGACCATGTCAGTGGGTCGTCAGTGGGTCGGTTGAAATTTGGAATCACAATTAAGCCAAGCAATGCTTGTCAAAACACCAGAACAAAGTACACTGCAAGCCAGTGTCCTCCGGTTTCTTTTATCACTTTGCTTATCTGCAAATTCCCGTAATCTGCAGGCACGTGGCTCTTAATTGTTATTATTACCAATTAGCTTTTCTCTCCTGTAATTACCCTGTGCTTGCCTGAAGCCTCCCACAGTTTCAGGGGAGGCTGATACCTTCCTCCTTCCTCTCTGCTCTCACTGCTACCCGCATCCCCCTTCTTTCTGGGGGAGCTGAACCATGAACCTCACGGCGAAGATGAAGCCGAAACCCTCCTGCGATGTGATTTATGGAAACCCGCGCATTGTGGGATCCATAATCCATTGGATAGTAAACATGTAGTCTGGGCGTAAGGCTCAGATAGAGGGCTGGAGCCCGGGAGGGAGCCATAAATCACCACGCTAACAGCAAGCGCAGTGTTTGCCTTGATTTAAGGGCTGCTGCAAAGAAGTTTCCCAGCGCTGGCAAGGGCTGGATCTGCAATAGCGCCTCGGACGTGCGCGGGACGAGGCTCTGCCTCCAGCTTTCCCCGCGGAAGCCGGCTCCCGCTGCCGGTGCCCAGGCTGCGGTGCAATCTGCATCGCTTCAGCCCGGAAAAGAATTAATGGATTGTTGATTACGTGGGCTGGATAAGATTAATGATGTGCTTAACTATCCATTTCTTTATGTTTAAGCACCAGGGGTGTGTTTGTAAATGATGAGGCACCAAACCCAGCCGTGCTCAGGAAGATCAGCAGCTTCAGTGCTCGCTGAGGCTGCCCGCTCAGCACCAAAACCCCCCCGCAACCTGGGTACTGGGGGTCTTGGAAAGAGCCGGGGATAAGTGGGATCTCCATGCTCATCCAGCCCTGCTCCCGCCCAAGGCAAGCTGCCGTCAACAGCTCAACCAGACGTTCTGCAGAAAGAGTACAAACACAGGGGCATTCAAGCATTTCATTCTCCAAACTAAATCCTTTCGGTTAGCACCTGGAACTTGCACTTTTTAATTACTCTCTCAGGGAAGCTTTAGTCAAAAAGAAAAAAAAGAAAGAAAGAAAAGAAGAAAGGAAGAAAGGAGACATCTCCACTATATTAACTTGCTCTAAAGCTCCCTGGGGATGCAGAGTGGCACTTTTCCTTATCAGGTTTTAAAATACGAGCTTCTGCAAAGAATTAGTTTGCAATTCCCCACCTCCTCCCACCAGCCCTCACTGGCACCCCATGCAGCTCCCTTCGCTCTCAGGAAACCAAGCCTGTGCCGTCTCATCATTCCCATGCCCCTGAGGTCCCTGTTGGGGCAGAACTAATGATATTTGCCAAGTCTTCCCATATCCATGCTTGTTTGGGGGTCCTTTTTGGGTCCGACATCTTTGCAGGTCAAAATCAACATCTTTAAGCATGCCCATGCACGTGCCCATGGTCACACCACCAGGACAGGTGAGGAAAATATGAGCTAGAAATGACTGTGCTGCACAAAGTGATGCCCTCAAACAAGCTGGAGGTGCAGAGAGGACTGCCTCGAGCAAAGGCACTGCAAAAGTCTGGATGATCCACCAAAAAGATGCATGGTTGGCACCCACCAGCACCCCCAGGAGAAGGGCAATGGGGAGGGTGCCCTGTTGGGTTTGAGGATGCCACAGGCCATGACCAAAGGAAGAACTGCAGCTCATTGCACTTAAATTACACTGGAAAAGGATTCAAGGCCGTTTCCTCCCTTTCTGCAAACGACAATTTTTCATTAAGAAAAACAACCTGGTTCCTGAAACCAACACTTTCTACACAAGGCTCACAATTTTGGACAAAACCTAAAAAGAAGAGATGAAATGCTTGCTAGAAACCCCTTGTACCCTTAGCAGACACCTTTGACAAAATGTTGAAGCATCTTTAAGCACACAAAAAAAAAAGAAAAAGCCCATCAACTTTTCAGCTTTCTAATGCAGATTTTCTGATTAGCCCTAATTACGGGTATTTTAGCAGCAAGGCAGCTCTCCTCCCCATCCTGCTGCCTTCACATGCAGCCTGCACGCAGGCTAGGAAGCCCTCCTAGATGCTTTCAGCTGAAAGACACCATCCAGGCAAACAAACACCCACGCAAAACGGCGTACTATATAAAAACGATATTTAGAGGCTGTTGTGATTGCAGGGGCAGGCACTCCCGGCTGCCAGCACAGCTCTCGCTCACCCTCCCGGGCAGGCAACACTGGTGGCACCACATCCCCCAAGGACACACACACAGGGGGAGCAGAGCCACAGCACTGCCGTGGGGTGTAACACAACCGATGGCTTTGCGTTTCTATCCCTTTGATACGATGATGATGCCTGGGATGGGAGCTGCAGTCTGGGGGAAAAAACAGCCGAAGCAGGCGAGCTGTCACCCACGCACCAGGGAGCTGCCATCTCCCTGTCTTCAAAGGGCAACGAGGGCGCTGCCTTCCCACCCCACTTTCATCTCCCTCCCCGCAAACAGCCGAGCAGGGAGCGGGCGCCTGTTGCCGGAGGTTTAATTGCATCCCTGACTTGACACTCACCTGTCATCCCTTCCCCTTGAATCTCTACTGGGGAGGGGAGTGTTTTGTGGGTTTTTTCCCCCCATACCTGCTTTTTAATGAGCCGATTCCCTTTTATATCAAGCCAAGCACTTTTCCTGAGCGCCTCAAACCTGCCACAGCCGCAGCGAGCTCGGCAGGCAGCCGGTAATGCTGGCAGGTGTACTGCCGTGCCACCCTCCACCAGTCATCGGCAAATTAATCCGGAGAGGTTTCTGCATTGGGAGCAGTGCCGTGCTGTGGCAAAGAGGGGTGGGAGGGGACCCACCACACGCATCCTGCCTGCCTGACCACACCGAAGAGGGAGACGAGGAGCAGAACTGGCCCTGAAACACCCCATCAGCCACCAAATCTCCTCTCCGACATCCAGTCCTTGGGGGAGGGTGGGGAGCATGGTTCAGATGGGGAAATGGCAGAGTTCAAGCATCCCCATCCCCAAAGCATTCTCGGACGCTTGCAGAGCCTTGTCCCAGGGAGAGAAAAAAAACTCATTTTGGTGCAAACTTCACCATTTTTTGCAGTCATACGCACCACTTCTCACTATTTTGGATCACCCGGAGCCACTCCCGCCTCGGGGCCGAGCGCTCACCCAACATAATCACAAACAGCACCTGCCTCGTTGCATTGCATTCCTGTATTTCAGCACTGAAAGGTACAAAAAAGCTACAGGGAGAAAGTCATGAGATAAACATGAGCTTCCCCGCATCTGGGATTGCATCCTGCGGGCGACGGGCTGCATCCCTCCTTGGTGCACAGAGGAACGAGGCCCCGGCTCCTCCTGATGCAGGCGGTTAATTAAACCAGCCTTTCACCTCTGGAGGAATAGGTTTAGATCCGCCTTGGGACACATGTGAATTAAAGGCAGCGGCTTCTCAGCCTGGCCCGTTA